GGGCTTATTACACCCCATATTGAGTCACCACTATCCGATGGTACGGGATCAACCTTCAATCTCAACCGGAAAAGCAAGTTTAGGTCAAGCCCTCTAATGGAACTATGATCTCCTTTATCACAAATCTAAAACCCTTAGATGAATCCCTTTAGCAACTTAATTTGAGAGAGGTGAATTATCTTTTTGTTACACCCTAAAAGCCTTAGCCATAAATTCATAGTTGAAAGATGGGAGAAAGAACTTCATAGCCTAAACCATTAAGTTCTTTCACAATGTGGAAGAGAGATCTCAAAGATAAGAGAGTGGGACGTGCCCCTTTTTGGGCTTTCATGAAAGAGAGAAATTTTTCTTAAGAGAGAAATTCTAAGTGGGGCGTGTCCCTTTGTGGGATATGAGAAAGAAAGATAGAAATGAGGTATAAAAGATAAGGTGTAGAGATTTTGGGTAGAGATAATCCAGGCTTTGAACAAGATTGGAGTTTCTTTGAGTTTTCCTTAGCTTGCCTTTTCTTGTGAGATTGAATATGAACCATTGATCTTGGGTGACTTGTGGGTGAGAGATTTGAGTCATCCATTTCATAGATGGGTCATCAACATTATAAAAGATGCTACAACATTTATCCTCATTTCCTAAACTATTTTTCCATCAATAGAAATTAAATAAAATAATTTCAAATATAATATTATGCATACCACAATTATGCACAAACCTTCACATGCTTTCCAAAAATTCATTCAAAGCTCCCTCAAGCCAATACGTTTCCAAAATACATAGCAACTTGGCCTACAAGCCAAAGTCACTTATCACAAAAAAAAATAGAAAGCTTCTAAATGAGTGGGGCGTGCCACTCATGAAAGGATCTCATGGGCCCCACCATCTAGGCCATGGTGGGCCCATGTGCACAATGGGCCCTTATGTAATTTTAAATATTTTAAAACTCAATAAAATAATTTTAGAACTTATTTGAATATTCAAATCAATATAAAATCAATATATTTGATTTTATAAATCCAAATTTGACAAATAAAAAATCCAATGATCTAGAAAAATTCAAATAATAATTCTAAAAAATCATATATCATAAAATAAAGCTAATTAAATTCATAAGATGATAAAATGATCCATATGATATAGGAATCAATAAAGCACTAGGGCACTCCACCTTCAACTACGGACTACGGACTACATTTGCTTTATCAAACTGACTTAGTATTTCCCATGACCCATAGTCCGTACAAGAACTCATTAGTGGGTCACCAAAGTCTGGCCGACCAACCAAGGGGTCGCAATCTCAGTCTGTAGATTTCAAGTTCTCCCCTAGAAACGTTGCAAGGTCACCTAGACCTAATGCGACCATAGCTTCTATGGCACATAGGGATATCTCCCGCATAGGCATAACCTTCATCTTGAAAGTGATTCGTTTTTTCGAAACGATCTATCATTATGCATGTCGTGTGATAGTACATGGATGAGGCTTTGGCCCCGATCTATGAAAACCACCATCACAAATAAGGGTCACACAGTCCCTCGGCTTACTCATCCGGGCATACTTCGACCTGATCAAGGGATGACCCAATAAAACCCTTATCGATTAATTTTATATGCCAAGTTAACATAGATTTTTCCCAACCGACTAGCTTAAACCGTCAAGCACAGTTCGGTATTAACAAACATCACTTGCTTAGTATGATCCACGAAAGACCACACTTCCACTGAATTCATATTCCACTATATCATTTCATTTTTTTACAAGCACTCATAAAGCCATTAATGGCCACATTCACCCAACACAAGAGCCTATCAAATAAGGTTCGAATGGACCCCCAAAATTTTGATATTTGGATCAAGAAAGATGTTATTTCTCACTTCTTTCAAGATAAATTGAGAGAAAATCCAGCAAAAGACGAAAGAAAGAAAGAAAATAATGGAGGAAAATGAAAGTGATTATCTGAGAGCTTAAACACTTCCCTCGAGGAGAGTTGGAAGTATTATCACCACACCACCAATTTGGTTGCACTAAAACTTCCTTGATCATCATTATCATCATCCGAACCTTATCGCAACTGGGATTGGCTAGCTAAAACTCCTTTAATGTTGGAGGAAATCTTTTTGATACAAGCAATGAGACTCAAGTCAAGAGAGAACGAAAAACAATTCAGTATTCAACTTCGATGGTCAAAAGTTACAGTTTTCAGGGGACAATGACTTGAAATGTTATCGTTAAGTGGAACACAAGTGTGAGAGGGAAAATCAGAGAATACGTTGTTATAATTTTGGGGACTGAGAGTTAGACAATTTGTATTGCTTATTTGAAGATTTTTGGGGGCTTCCTTGCTATTTACTTTTCTTCTTTTAGTATGTTCTCTGCTGAGTTTTATGTTATTGAATTTTGTTTGAGAAATTGGTACATTTTGTTTGAAGAATACCTTCTCTGCTGAGTTTTTGTTCGTGTAACTGCTTACCCAAAAAGGTGCTCAATACACATGGAAGCGCATCATACGTGCTCTTTTGCCAGTCTTTGTAATTCGGACCGGTGTAAAAGGGCGAATGGGTCGGGTTGGGTCATGTCCAAGTTGACCCAACCAGACTAGGTCCAAGTCAGACCCGGATCCCACCCACTAGCTCCGGTCAGGTTCTAGTCTAAAATTCTTTTATATTTTATATTACAGAATGAGTGCTATTTATATGTAATTTATACTTAATATATTCAAGATGGATTGGCCTCGACCCGAACCCTCAGTCTGATAAGATCCATGTTGGATCCGGACCTAGACCCCATCAGGTCAAGATCAAGTGGACCCAAACCCAACCTAAACGCAGTCGGGTCAAGCATTGCCTTGTTTTACCCCTCTCTCTCTCATTTATGCATCTGACTCTCAACAACAAAAAAATAATTCTCAACAGAAAAAAAAAAGAAAAAAAAAAAAAGAAGGAAGAGAGAAACCTTCTCCGCAAGAATCCCTTTAAGCTTCACGCTATAAGATATCATATAATAATAATATATTATAATAAAATTAGGAAAAAGTTTACATAGAGGCTTAGCTCTAAACAATCAAATTAGAACCCTCCTCAAATATTTTATTAGAAGACGTGGTTTTGATGCCTAAATATCCTCAAATTGATTATCTCAACATCAAGATGCATGGACATGAGAAAAAAAATGAATTTTAAGTTTTAGAAATAGCACATCTTCTAACGCATTTTTGAACCGTCAATTTTCAAGATTTTCAAGTTTTCATAGATTTTTTCATCTACTAAGCTTTAAATTTTATAATTAAAACTTAAAATATATTTAAAGCTATCACAAAAATTTTAAGTATTGAAACCACATTTCTCGCTCTTTGAAAATGCACTTTACTTTGATTGTTTAGAACCTCAGCCTTAAACAAACAGCACCCATGACATTATAATAAATTACATAACGTAATAAAATAAATAGTGCATCTAAAGTATTCTAGATCCTATGAATTAGACGCGGACCCACCCATAGGGTCCAGATGTAGGACCCAAACACAAACCCAACTTGAGTCAACCCGACCCGGTACCCACCCGTCAGGCGTTCCAAGGATAGTTGGGAGTGAGGCCCATGACTTTGACCCAATTATAAAGACTTCAAAATACCCACACGGGTGTTGCTAGTTGGACCGAAGTGGGTGACAAGAGTGGACAAACCTAGCAACAGTAATGCCAATGCCAATAGCTACAAATAATGTACTTAGTAGTTGACCACATTGGTGCCCAGCAAAAAATCACAAGCCCCTACTACCATTAAAAGTACACCCCAGAAAGATGGCCTCTTTCTGGGAAAGTGACAGAGAGGGAGGGACCACCTAATTTCCAAAGTACAAAAGCAAGCTAGGGCACAAGGCGGTAAGGCTTCAAAAAGGACATTGCCATCCAAAGAGAGAATCCAAGTGCAGTGCGTGAGAGAAAAGCAAGACCACCCAAAGTCCAAAATCACCACCCAAGGTAGTACAATTTGAAAAAGATGGTGCCCAACAAGTGAGAGAATCCCAAAGGGTACCCTTGGGTGGGGTGGTAGTAGGGGTTGCAGTGGTCCCGATGGGTATACTCAACCTCAGGTCCCGGGATGGGTCCAAATTTTGGGCCGAATACCATCCAACTGGACCAGTTCAAATTTGCGCCGAATACTATCTAACTGGACCCGTCCAAATTTTGGGCCAAATACTATCCAACCGGACCTGACTCGTACCCATAGTCATAGGGTATATGATGAAAATCATGCACCTTTAGGCCTATGCTGGGTGTTCATATTGTCACAACAGTAGACTTTTTACAACATTATTGGCCAATAAAAGAAGCTTATAGTCATAGGGTATATGATGATAAAATAAAAAAAATAAAAATAAAATAAAAAAACTCATAGTCATAGGTGGATCCGCAATGGATCCGACCAGACCCGGGACTTGACAAGTCCAAGTACGGGTACAAATTTTGAACCCGAATACTATTCAGGTCCATGTCCAAGTCCGGGTCCCAGACCCAATCCAGCCGTACCCGACCCGTGACCACCCCTAAGTGGTAGAGGCGGCGGGTGGTGGAAAGCGAGAGAGATATCACACAATTTAAGAGGATTAAGAGGGACAGAGAGAAAGGGATCACACTCACCTCAAGAGATAGAGAGATCACACCCCACCCACTCTAAGGGCCAAGCCAACTCTTGCAAGCTTCAAGACTCCCAAAGGACAATTAACGAGCCAAGGCGCAACCAACATGACAGAGCCCAGCACGAGCCAGAGTGGACCCGCATCAGCCTAGGGGCACAAGCCTCATCCTTCTCTCTCTCTCTCTCTTTCTCTCTCTCTCTCTCTCATTTGCATCCCATTCATGGAATATGCCCGTGCCATAATTGAAAACCAAGAACTCCACTGAAAAAGCATAAATGCCCTATCAACAAACCACCCCACCACCACCACAGTTAAACACAAAACACTCACAATAAAAATCATAACAAGGACAATAAGTATTTAACACCATGATTAAACACGAAACACTTGAAGTATTAATTATAACAAACACTTGGATTAATAACATTTCGAGGTTCTAGCTTGCGGTGCAGTTCTATAATATATAGAAGCCACTGAGTTTTAGAATAACATTCAAACCAGAAGCGAAGCCATAAAGCACCTTTACATAACAATAACAGAACACCTACCCAAAGTTGCCATTTCCCATAAACCCTATACTTGCCTCACTAACCGCTCATTTACCAGAAAGCAATCATCATCTCAAGATACTAGTTCCGGTTCCTGCACTTCTCCATGGCCCTTGGAGCTATCAAAACAAAAGGAAGTAAAATTTTTCAGAGAGGCAATTGGGTGGAGACAGAAAACAGAGCATTGGTAGTTAGGCAAGTCTCAATGGCACCATATACCTAAGCCAATGGCATCTGAACCCTTCATGATTCGAAGCCTCTTGCATGAATCAATGAACATCCTGCCATAAATTTGAAGCCAGTAAGTAAAGAGAGATGAAATATCAAAGAAGAAAAATAATACAATACAATGTGGGTACTCAATGATTCGAGACTTATTCCCAAGGAATATCATTGTGATTTCTAGTATATAATTATGTGAATTTGTTAACCAGCGATTTCACACTCCATAGGAACATCGCCCATAATTCCTCAGTCCCATGCTATCCCACATATTCGTTTCTTTAAAATGGAATGCGTTGAGAATCAAATATTAAAATATAATGGTTTGAGTCTGATACTTTCAAGTATACAAGTCTATACGAACATGTATCAAATGATTAGAAACTTAGAAATAAAGCTTGAGAGTCGCAAATTATACTCCAATGGCTCCTTTTATTTTTAGTTTGTATATTGTGGTTATCGTCTGATCTTCAAGTACAAGTTGATAAGTGTATCCTAAAAGGGTCGGTTAAATGATTTCGTCTTACTCCCAAGGGACATCTCCCACAAGCATCCAGTCACCATCCTTATCCTCATATGTGAGCACGTACTCTGATCCATTCAAAAGATCCTTCAATTTGCTCTCACTCAAGCCATCTCTACCAGAAACTCCATGGGAGCCACACTGACCTGAAATCATTTGAAAATATCAGTAACTGAATCCTAGACTACAAATTCTTTTATAACAAGAAAGCCCCACATAGCAATAAAGAAAAAGAATAACAAGTAACAGCACACAGTTTCATGGCATTTCAATTTGAACAGTGTAAGCATACAATATAAAATATTAACTGAATAACAAGAACTCAAATAATCCTAAAGAGCACAAAAAGAAGAGCCAGGATACACGATAATGAATTACAAATAAAGATGCTCACCAATGGTAAAACAGCTGAACATCTTCTCAAGGGCAGTGGACAGCTCCTGGTAAGCAGAGTAAGTTTTAAGGTCTACTTTCCTCAGGTATGGAGCACCATCCATGCTGACTTTGACAAACAGACCACCGAAACCTGGTTTCCCATCAACTTCTTCATTATTCTTGGGATTGGCTGCCAATGTGTTCTTCCTGAATGATCTAATAGGGGGCCACCCAACCACCTGTTGCCTGCCATCACAATATCAAATGGTGAAGACCAACATTCATTTCAGAAAACATAATTAGCACATTTTTAATACTGATTTTCTTTCCTTCATTTTTTTTACAGAAATGGTGCAGAAGGACAAAATTGCCATGAAGACAGGCCAGACATGAAGTATGACAGAAACTTTTGCCTGCAATGAATATATGGAAGGTAAAATAACCAAGACAGTCATTCCATGTATGCTAATAGTCAATGTTTGGACCAAAACAAATTTCAAGTTGTTATCTAAATGCAGACGTCATATAAAGAAGCACAAAAAATATAAAACCACAAGATCCAACATCTGTTCTCAAGGCAGATGTAAACATGAACCAAATTTCTGATGACTCGCATTCAACCTGGAAACATGGTTCGTCTCCATCATCCATTCTAAGAATGGAGGGTCAGTTTTATAATGCACACTACATAGTATGTGCACGGTATACATTCCCAACAAAGAATGTGTTACAAGTACACTACGTGGTCTATATCTGCACCATGACATGAAAGAAGAATGCAATCTAGTTAAAAGCTACAAGAAGTCAAGAGCGAAGGTCTACCACTGGCTAAATTTAAGTTTTATTCACATCATATAGATCAACCCCGAAATGCCCTTGATGCTTGAAGGTTATGTTCATCGTTCGCAAAGGAATTGATATATTACCACTAGTTAAAGATAATCATAAATATTTTACTAGGACCTCGAAAAAAAAAAATTAAAGCATAGCAAACTAAAACACAGATTTCTAGAGGAGTCAAGATTTTTTTTGTGATGGGTGTAAAGGAGTCAAGATCTAGGACTCACTTTGAAGCAGGAGCAACAACATAATTATTCACGGGATTCGTCTGATTCGGCTCATTGGGGGCACGGACCCTATCCTGAGACATCTTTGGAGGAGCAACCTCCTTAAGCATCGGCGATTGATCCTTCAATGATACTGGCATAACAGGTGTTTCAGAAAGAGGAGGCCTAGAGGGCACAATACCAGAGGCCCGATGGTCCAGGCCTCCCGTATGCCAGGTAGCAGACCCTTGCTTAACAGCAACAGCATTGACCCCAACACTCGCTAGGAACCCCTCTGAAAAAACCCCACCTTTTGCCTCTAAAAACCCATCATCAATAGCATCAGAAAAACCCCTTTTGTTACCAGAAAAGATGCCATTCCTCCCATTCTTCTCCTCTGAAGTGTTCTCTTTCAATGGGGCCAAAGGGAAGAGGGCCTTCTCGTCTAATTTCAAAGAGGGTAAGAGACAAAGCTCTGGATCTCTAACAGGAGACCTCGAACCAGGAAGCCCAAGCCTTAACTCTGTCTCTTTTAGGTTTAGGGAGTCTTCTTTCTCCTCTAAAGGACATGTTATTACAGAGCTCTCCAAGGAAGAGGCATCCGATAGTCCCATATAATTGTGTTCTCTCAACCCAGAGTTGTTATTGCTGAGATTTTCTGAAGAAGCTGACGATATGAGAGAGGGAACCCCTTTTCCCAATCCCTCCTCGACATGGCCAAGAGGTGGAGACATCGAATTTTCCTGATAATGTTTTACCTCTTTACGTTGATATATAATTACTCAAAATCTTTTACTTCAAAATCAACGCCTGATAAAAAACAAACACCCAACAAATTTCTTAATAGAACCCAAAGAATTTCTACCAGAAATCAATACCAACAACCAAATAAACAAAGTCCAGAGCAATATTGAGAGAAACCAAGAAAACACCACCAAAAAGACAGCCTAAGAGAGAAAATCCACGAAGCCGGATATTGCAAACATTGGAGAGAGTTCATATCGTAGTGAATTACCGAGCTAAATCATAATTTTTATAGGAGGGATACCACCATTGAGTGCAATATGATTCTGAATCCAAACCCCTAATAAAGGGAAAATACAGAGTAAATAATTCTATAGTACAAGAAATTTACTTGTGACCATAAAATTTACAGAGCTAACCTTTCTAACAAAGAGGAACCCAGAAAAATTTTTAAATGAATCCAAATCCCAAAGAACAAGGCCTGCACTAGAAATGTTCTAAAACTCAAATGGACCATGACCTCTTTGAATATGGATCACAAAATATTACTACATATACAGAAAATGAACATTTGGATACAGAGAAAATGAAAATTTTTAAAAAAGTAGAATCTTGAAAAAGAAGAAAAAAGGTAAAACCCTAAGTTAAAAGCCTCCACTGATATTAAGCACTCCAATCTCAAGACTTACAAGACAAGGACATCTCTACCACAGAAAAAACCCAAAATCTCAAATTTCTTCACCACCAAACAAAAAATGATGAATGAAACCCAAATCATTAGAATTTCCGCCACTTTTACAAAACAAATACTGAGTAACCCCATAATACAAAAACTACTCCACTTTTTTCAAAAGAACCAGTGCCATTTATTCAAATAAAACAGTGATTAACCCAAAATCATAAAAAACATTTCCCCATTTTTTAACCACTTAAACCTGAATCACTAAAACTTACCTCATTCCCCAAAATAAACCGCGCCTAACAGTAGAACTTCGAATTCCCACATGAAGCTTAACGCCTAACCCTTAGACCCAGAGAAAACCGACACTCCTGAAAAGAACCAGCAGCCTACAACCAGTAAAATCCCCAAGAAAAAAGCTCATCCAAAATCGAGAAATCCCGATAAAACGGCAAAAGATGAAAAGAAGATAGAGAGCGAGCGAGAGGGAGGGAGAGAGAATGAAGATTAGAGCTTACCTTAAAACTTTTATCAGTTCAGTTCCAGAGAGAAGTTAGTTCAGTTTTCATGCACACACGAAACATCAAAGAGCTAAGGACCCTCCATTGTAGAGCAAGAAACAAACTCTGAAACCCCAAAACAGTCCCTCCCTCTCCTCGTAGTGTCAAACGCACGGAGCACACTCAGAAGAAAGCCTTCGTCTTCTTTTGCACCAACAAAACTATACCCGATAACCGGACAGACCGGTTTTATCGCAGGCCCTTGACGATGGACGGCTGGAATTCAACGGAGTGGAACATTCCTGACCGTTGGATCGGGTGGGTGCTTCGGAGTCTAGTTTGTTGGAATGACAAAAACGCCCTTGAACGTGGGAGGGGACGGCGGGATTTCGTTTTCCTCTGGGTCCATGCACAACTCGTGCTGTTAGTTTCCCGAAATGTTCAATGTGTGCGATTTGCGCTGAAGTTTTTTGAAATTTCGGTATGAAGATTTCGGACGCTATCCCATTTTGTTAACGCAAGGTAGTTTATGCTCAATAGAGGAAAAATTATACATTAAAATGTAGAATTATAGATGCATCTCAAAATTTTTAACGCAAAGGTTGTTTTATTGCTGAAAAAGTCTCTAATTGATCATCTCAACTTCGAGATGTATAAATCTTAAAAATAAATAAATTTTGAATTCCAAAAATAGTTCATTTTGCAGCACATTATCCAGACCGTCCATTTTCAAGATTTTCATATGTTTATAGATCTACTTGATTTTAACTATTTTTTAAGTTTAAAATTTATTTAAAGATAATCCTATGAATTTTTTATAACAAAATTATATGTTACAATAAAATTTGGAAGCCCGCCTTAAATTTATTTAAAGAGAGTCCTAAGAATTTTTTACAACAAAATTACATGTTAGGATAAAATTTGGAGGCTCGCCTTAATTGAAATGTTGCACGTTGCAACGTTATAGAAACCACACCCAAAATTATATTACCAATAGTAGAGGATAAAAAATCTCTGACTTTTTTACCTCTTCACTAATTTATTCAAACTAAGGTCACAGTCTTCTATATCGAATAATATGGTATTATTATAAATATTTTGTTATTAGGGAAAATTTTACCCATAAAAATAAAATAATAATAATAATAGTTAACTTCATATGTATTTTTAAAAAAGGTTTCTTATGCGGGGAACTCAATTCTAATATTTGCAACCCCCCAACCCATCAAATTCTATCGATATAAAGTGCGGACCCCTCACATGCTTAGGTTTTAAAAAAAAAAGTGTATATATTAATGATCGCCATATTAGAGATCATGTATTCTTACAAAATCATATCCAAAATCGATATCGAAAATAGATCATGAAGAGGAGATGCATTTCTACAAGTTTGGAGACTCATATAAACTACGCCCATGTTTTTATTTAATTTCTAAAGGGAAAAGTTTATATCGAGCCTAGGCTCTATACAATCAAGTTAGAGCCCACTTCACAAATTTCACTAAAAGAGGTTGTTTTGATGTCCAAATATCTTCAAATTGATCATCTCAACATCAAAATGCATGAACATGAGAAAAAAATGGATTTCAAGTTTTGAAAATAGTGTATTTTTTAACGCATTTTTGGACCGTCAATTGTCAAGATTTTAAAGGGATCCCTGGCTCTTTATAGGGATCCTATGGGTTAAAAATATATTTTAAAGCTATCACAAATATTTCCAGTATTGAAACCACATTTCTCGATACTATTTGAAGGTAGGCTCTAATTTGATTGTTTAGAGCCTGGGCTCTATAGAAACCGCACCCGGTTTCTAAACAACCATCAAAATACATATGACTTTGACGAGGAGAACAGGATAAAAATATTAACTAGTTGAAAAGTGATGTGTACCTTGATAGATTTCTCTTTCAATATTATATTATGCTGGATATTTAGTCATAAAAATAAGTTTATATAAGGTCTCAACCTTATATTGTAGAAGTGCGGTACACTAAAAAAAACTATCAAAACATATTGTTTTGATACTACCAGACCCTCCAATTGATCATCTTGACCTCAAAATGTATCGTTATGAAAAAAATTTGATTGAAAATACAGCATCTTGTACCGCATTATCTAGACTATCTTTCAAAATAATTTTCTAAGCCATCTGAAAGTTTTTCGGCACCAAGGCTATAATTTTTAGCGCAATTTAGAGCCACACCTTACTTAGATTGTTTTAAGGTTGACGCCTTATACAAAAACACGCCATCTCGTCATTAATGTTGCTATATTTGGAGGAAGAAATACTCCATTTTATGTGGGCTCCTTCGGAAAGATGTCAAAGATATTGAATCTAAAATTTTATTGAATTACTAATGACCGCTACCATGACTATTTATTTAAAAAGAAATTTTATTTTTATTTTTTTAAAATTTTAAAATTAGTTAATCTTAAACTTTCCTTGTCATAATGTTTTTGGACCATTCATTTCAATTTCTCAAAAATATAAACTTCTAAGGTTTAGGTTCCTTCTTTCGTTGAAATTCATGATTAATTGATGAATTTTAGAGAGAGATGGCAAATGGAGATATTACAACAAAACTTTGTCTTATTTAGAATTTCTCAATTAATGTATAATATTCCTCTCAATTTTTTAGAAAGAGATGTGCGAGTATGTTGACGGGTAACCAAGAGTGCTGGACATCAGCTTCGGTTTCACGTGGAAAATTACCTTTCAATAAGACAAAGGAGAATAATATCTCTTGTACTCTTTTTTGAAAAAATAAAAGGTATTATTGTTAAAAGATTTCATCTTCTCTAGGGAGTATACTATCCATTTCCTCCCTCCGGCAAAACATATCCTAAGGATAATTTTTATATCTAAAAATTTGGGGAGTAATCTCTACAGTAAAAAAAATTTCACAAATAAACTTTTTATATGATAGCAAAAATAATGCCTCAAGATTAAACAGAGACTGTCTAATTTTTTTTAATAGCTAGATCTAAGTGTGACGAAGCTCACAATTCAAAATAATAATAATTGTTATATGGTTGGCAAAGTTTGCTTAGGAAAAAATCAATCTAGGTGTTTTGACCGAGGGAGTAGATGTGCAGTGTTGCTCTTGAGAGTACAGTGTATTCGCCTATTTTAAATATGTGTATGATCGTTAGGGTAGACATTTCCTATTGAAAAGTTAAAATACTTTTTTTCCAAAATTTCGCCATTTTGCTGATTCCACGGAAGTTGTTGGTGTAGGAAGACCTAGCTTACCGTAAATGGAAAGTAAAATAAGTACTTTTTTTTGTTTATGAACTTTTATCACGAAATAATTTCAACTAACTTACCGTAAATGGAAAGTAAAATAAATGCATTGTTTGTAAACTTTTATCACGAAATAATTTCCCACTAATATCCACAAGAAAAGGTACCCACTTTATATTCAAATGAAAGATAAGAGTGTCCTCATTGAAAACACATGGAGCCCGCTTAAAGATGCAAATCTTTTCAAAAGGTGAGATTTGCAATGTATTCAATAGCAAATTATTAGGATGAGCAGGAAGATAGCAATAAAAAAATGAAAAAGTTTCTATAAAGTTGTAATTTTAAAATGTAGAATTAAAGGTACATCTCAAAAATCCATCAAAAAATATTGTTTTGATGTTGAAAAACCCTTTAATTGATCATCTCGACATCAAGATGTATGAATATGAATAGTAAAAATATTTCGAGTCCGTGAAATAGTATATCTTGCAACACATTATCTGGACCGTCCATTTTCAAGATTTTTATGTATTTATCGATCGACTTGATTTGAACCATTTTTAGAGTTTAAAATTTTGCAATTAGAGATGAAAATAGATTCTTGAGTAATACTAAGAATGTTTTACATCAAAATTACATTTATGATAAAATTTTGAGGTGCTATAGGTCGCGGAATCCAATTTCAAAGCCTTTTTCTCAAATTCTTTTTATTCAGTACTATTGTCAAAAAAAAAAAAAAAAGACGGAAAGAAAGAAGAAGAAGATAAAATTTAAAGGTGCGCATTCATTGGATTGTTTAAGGTTGCAACCTTATGCAAACCACACCTTTAAAAAATTATTAGGATGATAAAATTAGAATAAGATAATGATGAGGGTGCTGTGAACAAGAGCTTAAAGTGAGAAAATAATCTTCTTTTTTTGATAAAAAGAAAATAATCAAGAGAGAGCTTGATAAATTTGAAAGTAGTTGATAAATTTCAAAAAACATTAATAAACTATCAGAGTAGTCCGGTTTATTTTCCGAAAATTTGGAAGTAGTTGATGAATTTTTGATCCATGATTTTGTAGCTCGAAAGATTAGTGTCAAATGATATGCAAAGAATTAACTGATGAACAACTAAAAAGCAAAGATTAAAAACATCTAATGTTCAAAACCTATTTTCAATCTAATAATCATGTGGGTCGACATTATGACCTGTAAGATTTTAGGTCCAAAATCCATGTCGAAGATAAAATTACGAAGGACACCACATTTGAATAGGGCGTTTGCCACGCCATTTATAAGGAATTTGTTTCACCCTAATTTTTATTAATAATCTTAAAACCACTAGATAAACAATTTTCAAAAAAGTAAAAAGGATTTGTTGCACTTCTGGCCGTATATCTAATGTGCACTAAACCGAATAAGAAATGTTAACCCATTTTTCCCTATCCTCAAAATTCTATTTTGTAGAGGTTTTTCCAAATTTTATGGGTGAATTTCTATTGCATTAGCCTGGTGGTTTTTTTTTTTTTAGGAATATGCTCAAGGCTGGTGATCTGGAAACCCTTACAATAGCGTGAAAAATTATTTCCTTCCTTAATTATAAAATTCAAAGCACCCAAAATGATACAAATTGTATACCTATAAACACTTGAAAATCTATAAATTGGCGGCCTGGTTAATCTCTTATAATGTACACTATTTTTAGGATTTAAAATCCTATTTTTTTTAATATTCATACATCTCAAGGTTCAAATGATCATATGAAAGATTTTCCAATGTCGGAAAAAAAAACTTCTCCCATGGGGATTTTTGAAGTTTGCCTTAATTTATAGTATAAGGTTGAAACATTAGACAAACTTTTTTTAGTTTGCGTGTGTGTGACTGAAAATGATATGGGAGTGTATACAATGAGACCTTTTATCTTCTTTTTTTTGGGTAATTCAACGGGAAGATAGGCCTTTGCCCATTTTTTCAATAGATTAAGGAGTTATATTTTGAAA